AGTTTCTATGGGTACTTAGAGTTTCTATGACTATTTAGAGTTTGTATGGGAACTTGAATTAGCATATATGACTCACTATATGCCGCCTTAACCCGTAATTCAGGCAGCCTTGGGTGAGGAATAGCGGACAACTGATTTACACCTCTTGGGACCGCCGAAAAGTAGTTTCTATACATACAGGTCACCTATCCACAATAAACAAAAGTTAATTATTAAGGGATTCTTTCTTACAATTGTACTTCCGGTACTTACATGCTTGTCGGTGTAATGCAAAGTCTGCCATACGTGGCTTTAGCAGGGGCCGGCTGGATGTTGGGCAGCTGGCAACCATAAAGCGATTTAATCAGGCTACTTGCAAGCAGGATCGGCCCTGGAAATCTCGTCAGTTGACCGCTTCATCTTTTGACTAATTATTGTTATATGTAAGTAATAATCCGGAGGCATGATGATGATGATATGTAAGTTACAAATTGTAAGTTCCCATGTAAACTCTAAGTACTCATAGAAACTCTAAGTTCCCATACAAACTCTAAGTACTCATAGAAACTCTAAGTACCCATAGAAACTCGAAGTACTCATAGAAACTTGAAGTACTCATAGAAACTCGAAGTACCCATAGAAACTAGAAGTACACACCCAAGAAAAAATTGTGCCTATGGTCTTTCGTAAAATTTCGTAGAAACCACCGGACTGCTTTTTCCACCCCAAAATTGGACTGGACTGCTTTTTCCGCCAATCGGACTGGACTCCTTTTTCCATAAACCCGTTCCCGTGTTGTTATGTGTAATACCATTGGTATCTTTAACAACCAAATATTCAATTTGGTATCTTTAACAATCACACATTGGTATCTTTAACAATAATAAAATAAACATCATTCACTCATTTTGATATAGACTTTATATTTCATACAGCATATACTGCAGTTATGCCATGTAGACTTCTGGGTGGCACGGTTCTCGTGTACGGAAAACGGTTGTCATGCGTAAGCCGTTGTGACGCTCTGGGCCGCGGCTACGCCCGGGGTCAGCCAGCGGCAGATATTACATCATTAACCCTACTCCCGGCAGGTGGCCTTTGGCCCCCAAACCACCCCGCATAACTTGAGTGATTGTGTATTAACCACAACAATTGCTATACTTACACACCAACAAAATGGCTGTATTTGAGTTGAGGGG